GAGGCTTTGGGGGGACACCTCTACACAAACCATAACAGGTGGGAAGGGAAGGAGAGGGGTTGTGGAGACCAGGGGAGGGATGGGTTGAGCTGGAATAAGGGAGGAGGGTGGAGAGCAGGGAAAGGGGTGGGAATGAGGAGAGGGGTGGTGCATGAGGAAGTGAGAGAAGGGGAAGGCAAGGGGAAGCAGGAGAGATGGGTAGGGAGAGGGAGATTGGGGAGAGTGGACTGGGATGGGAGAATGGGATCTTGGGAGAAAGGAACATAGGATACTATGGGAAAACTGAGGGGTAGAGAGTGGAGGGGCAGGGAGGATGGTGGAAGTCAGGGAAAGAGTGGTGGTGCCAGGGAAGAACAGGGGATGCCAGGCAAGACTGGAATTAGCTGACATCTCTCTCTGTCAGCTCTGATGTGTGGGGCACACCAAGGTCCCCATCATTTCATGGTCCTGGTGTCCCTGAATTACTTGTTGGCTTGCTAGCATTGCTGTCTGCTGCTCCGGCTACCAGAGCCACCGACGTCTGCTGCCTTCCCGTGGATACGGTGCCCTCCTATCCAGATCTGGGGGTTGGGTGAGAGTGGTCCAGGCTCTCCCCTTCTGTCCTAGTACAGTCACCTCTTAGAGCAACCACTTTCAGTTGCACTTATGCCATGGATCAAGGCCCAGAGCCTGAAATTGTTTTTTATGACCCTTACCCCATCCTGTTGGAATCCTAGCTCAGCCACAGACGCCTTGAGCCTGGGAGGCCAGTGACTCAGCCCATGGCAGCAGCTGTCCAAGGGCTGGTGCCCTGAGGGACCACAGAGGGCCAATGGGCAGCAGGATTGTTGGCCACTGACCTCTGAACAGACACGCCCATGTGGGGGCAATAAAACCCTAAGCAGCCTGGCTGGGAGGAATCTGACCGGGCTCATATCCCCTGGATCTTCCGCTACAGCACTCCAGAGTACCTGGACACTGAGAGGGGGACCCAACCATGAGGAGGTGATACAGGGCCCTGAACTCCTCAGCCACCAAAACCTGGCAGCTTGGCACTGGCCGGGTATGATTAGGAGCACCTTAGTTGTAGGTACAGGAGTCCTGGCTCAGAGGCTGCCTCTGAGGACTCTCCATTTCAGGCCTGGCTTCAGGGAGAGTCTGGGAGAGAGGGGAAGAGGGGCCTCTGTTCATAGACTATGGGGTCAGGCCATGTTTAGTGGTGGCCCTGGAACCTTCTTTCTAGGTGGATGGGGTGAGCGCACCATTCCCCGCCTCCCTGGGGTTCTCTGATCCTTGTCTGTCTGAAGCCTGTATCCAAGGCCCACCTCTGAGGGCAGTCCAGTGGCCCCCACTAGAGTGCCTCACCATGGAACCCCTGGGACAAGCAGGAGGCACCAGACTGTGGAGGCCAAAGAACCAGAGGGAGAGTCAAAAAGGGGTAGCTGGGGGGCAGCAAGGCCTGGGGTGTCCAGAGGGAGAGTCACCCAGGAGCTGGGTTTTTAGGCTTGGGAAGGCCCAGGCTTCCTGCAGGGCTTCATTCAGTGTGGGGAGAGTCCAGAGGCAAAGACAAGGCTAAGACCCCTGCCCAGCATAGCACTGGCCTCTGTTGGAGGCTCTGAGGAGAAGCAGGGTAGCTGAACCCCATTAGGTTTGATTCCCACTCCAGGCACCCAAGGGGTCCCCACTCTCCCCTTTACCCCTATGCGGATGCACTGAGTCACTAGGGAAGGAGTGAAGATTTCTATGGTACTGCAGCCTCCGCACAACACACACACACCATCAGGCACCACACCACACCGTACACCTCTCACACACTACGTGCACATCCAGGCATCATGACACAGTGCAGACACCACACACACGATATGCATATCACGTGCCATGTCCAGACACATGCACCATCTTCTTGCCTGCATGATGGGTCGCTCAACACTGTGGGCGCACCCTCAGGGTGCGGTGGGGAAGGCCATGCTTGGGACTCCATTGGTCCTCCTCAGTGTGATTCCAGCCGTCACGGGGTACTGTGGACCTGTACCACTGAGCTGACTCCCGTGTAGTATGTGTGCCTATACCCATGTCCACCCACATGTGTGTCACCGTGTGGCCTCTGGAGTCCTCAGCACTGTCACTGCCTGCTATGGGCGGGTCTACTCGGGCTGTGGGAGGCAGTAATGGTGGGTGAAGTGGCCTGGCCTGACAGCATGGGAGCAGGTGTGTACCCAGATATCTCATCTCTCCGTTCCTGCAAGTCCTTTTCTGTGAAATGAGGCATTATCGACTACTTATGGGCCTCTGGCAGCTCACCCAGGTTGTCAGGGTACAGTTGAGAGGCTGTTCATGGGCAGGGGCAGTCCCTTGCCAGCCTCACACCCCCTCCTTGCTCCCCAGGCTCTTCCTGGTTACCTGTCTGGTGGCTGTGCTGCTGCAGGAGGCTGGTGCTGTCCCAACACCCCAGGTATGTAGATCGCTCTGCTGGCCCCCATCTGTGGTGGCTGTCACTCCATGCTCCAACCATCAGGGAAGGCAGGACAACGGCCTCAGAGCCCATCCCCAGCCTCCTCAAGCTGGCCTTGGAGAGCTGAGGCAGAGCACTTACATGATCGGAGATGCCACGTGGCTGGCACTGAGGTGTGACCTGAAGAGGAAGGCAGGACTCTTTCCACTGGGGTCTGATGGGCCAGCACTGTGACACCCAAGGGAGCCCAGGTAGGGCACATGGCATTAATGACACCTAGGAAGACCTCCCTCACATGGGCAGGGAGCTCAGATATGCAGCATGGTAATGGTGGCCTGGGCTGGGACTGCATGGAGCTTGCCATGGGGGAAGGCCACTTGCCTGCACACCTGTGAGCAACCAAGACGAGGGGGCTCCTCGCAGCCACTTAACGGGGCCTGAAGCTGGGACTCCTCGGGGAGCCCACTTTGCTCTGCGCTTCCTACTTGGCCCCGCAG